ATATTTCTTTAATATTACAAGCTCAACTGCCCTTTCAGACATGGAGTTCAAATCTCCCACCACTCTACGAGTAAAAACCATTCTCCTTATCTCCCCTCTTGACATTCTTTTACCTTAAATCTATGCCCCTGGTTATTGACCCCTCTATCAATGGAAAAAATATCTTCCTATCCACTCTGTCCATGTCCCTTATAATCTTATACAAATCTGTCAGGACCCCACTCAGACTTCACTGCTCCAAAGAAAATAACCCCAGCTTATCTAATCTTCTGTCTTGCTGAGACCCCACGCAGCATCCTGGTAAATCTTCCCTGCACCCTCTCTGATTCATTCACATCCTTCCTACAATATGGTGACCAAGATGCACACAGGATCCCAGTTGTACCTACCCAGCAATTTATACTGTTTGGATCAACCTTATGTACCCTGTGCATCATTCATTAAAGGCAAACATCCCAAATGCATTATTTACCTGCTTTACTGTCTTCAGAAATTTGTCGACTCGTACATCAAGGTCCCTCTGATCTTGAGTACAGGGTTAGCTAGTTGCATTTATATGCTCCTAATACAAAAGGTCTAGCTGTCCCACTTACAGAGGAACTGGCATGAGCTGCTTCTTTGATTAATTAAGCTCTAACTGGTTGTTTCAATCTTGCTTAAGGCTGGGAACTTTGGAATTTAAGCTGTAACTTTCAATTGTAAGAGCTAATCTACTGGCAGTGTTAAAAGGGTCAGTATTGCAGGCATGGTTATGTTTGGTAAGATTAGCAGCTGCAGGAAAGTGAATGAGAGAATAGAATGGGGCAGCTGGGGTTGCTGCTCAGATGGAAGTACTGATGTGCCCAAATCTACAGTGACAGCATTCTGCTGTGACACAACAACATAGCACAACCTCATTGGGTGTGTTTCTTGGATATCACCCTGTTTTTCACAATCGTCTTTCTCTTCTGGCAACCCATGTTGCTCTGGTGAATCTGCAGGAAGTGAGAGCACAAATAATGTAAAACTAAAAATAATATGATATAAAAACAAATTTTAAAAAATCCTGAAGGATATTATTAAGCTGGAGAGGGTCCAGATGAGATTTAACAGGATGTTGCCGGGAATGGAAGGTTTGAGTTAGAAGAAGAGACTGGGACTTTCTTCACTGGAGCATAGGAGGTTGAGAGGTGACCTTAGAGAGGTTTATAAAATCATGAGGGGCATAGATAAGGTGAACGGCAGATGCTTTTTCCATGGGGAGGGGAATTTCAAGACTAGAGGGCATATTTTTAAAAGTGAGAGGACAAAGACTTAAAAAAGATATGAGGGACAATTTTTTTTACACAGAGAGTGGTTTGTGCGTGGAATGAACTTCCTGAGAAAGTAGTGGATGCAGGTACAGTTACAATGTTTAAAAGACATTTAGATGAGTTCATAAAAAGAAATGTTTGGAGGGATATGGGCCAAGTGAAGACAGGTGGGACTGGTTGGACCAAAGGGTCTGTTTCTGTGCTGCATGATTCTATGACTATGACTCTAAATGAATTAGAAGAATTAGAATTAGATTTTATTGTCATGTGTACTCAAGTACGGGATACAGGAGTACTGTGAAAAGTGTACAATGTTGCAGTTCCCAGCCCCATCTTAGGTACAAAGATACCTAGGTACAAAAACGTATGCACAAAGTAGAAAAATACGGAAATAAAGTTAAAAATTCAACATTAAAGGCCTTCTAAGTATAAAGTAAAAAGAAGTAAAGTTGAAAGTTCAACATGACAGTCCCTTCATAAGTACTTAGCCATGTTGGGCTCACACTCCCCGCAAGGGCTCATTCTCCACGCTTCACACGGTCACAGATGCTGGAGACCTTAGGCTCCTTTCCCCCGTGCTCCCTCCCTGCCACCCATCGCCCCCACCAATGCTGGGCTCAACCCCCCCCCTACGCCTGGCCCCAATCTCCCCCCCTACACTGGGCTCAATCTTCTCCCCTCTACCCCCATGCTGGGCTCGATCACCACTGCAGTAAAGTCAACTCCCTCGACTGCCACCAGCTGGAAGAACCTTGCCTCAGGTGCACGGGACACCTAGAAGCCACTGCTCTCTCTGCAGAAGGTAAGTAGATTGAAGTAGGACAAAGAAAGCTGTGAAGGAAGTAAAAGCGGACACAGCAGATGAGCTCTGGGCAGGAGCCCATACACTGCACTGCACTCCACCGCTATCTTGAAATGAAGGATGGATGAGAATCCTCCATCTGAGACTAAAGGGACAGAATAACAAGGCCTATGCTCAGACCGTGATAGGGTCCAAAAACAAAAGTTGCTGGAAAAGCTCAGCAGGTCTGGCAGCATCTATGAAGAAAAAATCGGAATTAACGTTTCGAGTCCGGTGACATTTCCTCAGAACTCCATCCAAACTTTTCTTATTCATGTACTTATCTAAATGTCTTCTAAACATTGTAACTGTACCTGTATCCACCACTTCCTCAACACAGATAGGGTGCAGTCTAGTTTCATTGAATTCATGAATTTAGCAGCTCGTGCAGTTGAATTCAGTTTCAAATGCTCAAATAGATGGCATTGCTACAGGATTCCCTCTAAGCCCAGCTCTTTCTGACATCGTCATGAAAACACATCTTCAATGGAATGGCCATTAAACTCCTACTCCTTGCACATTTCTGTTATGTGGATGACATGTTTGTGATATTTGAATCTATGTCTGCATCACAGAAATTCTTCACACACCTTAATAAATTCCATCCTGTGCTCAGATTTCCTGTTGAAGTGGACTGATCAAATAAGCTCCCATTACTTAACATATTAGTTGTGAAATCTACCAGCGGGTTCTCTGTTCCCATCTCCTGCAAGGCTACGTTCACTTGTCAACACGTGTTTTGATGCCTACTGTTCCAGGCATTGCAAGATCAACCTTTTTTGATAACTTCGTGAACAGGGCCCTAGCCATATGCTCATTCTGTGAGATTGATGTTGAAGTTAGGGCTAACAAAAGTGTCCCATATAATAGTGGTGACTGTGATCAAATCCTTACTTACTGTATATTGCATTAACTCATAAAGTGTCTGATGGCCTTCAATTTTGGCCCAGAAAAGTACCCTGCCTACCTCAAGCTATCCTGAGAGGGAAAGGTATCACAGAAATTTGAGCAACAGGCAAAATTCACCGCCTCACACTGTTGCATTGCAGGAAACCTACAACGATATTCAACAGCATCATGATGCTGTCGTCAAGTCAAAAAAGTTGTTCTGCCTGCATTACAAATGAATAATGTAGTATTTGAGTTTCAGTGTTGATGTATTGCAGGTATGTAGGCTATACATCCTAGTGACTGGCAGACCGAATCAAACAACACATTCCTTGGACTGTTAGTAGGAAGCAGCCTGCCAATTATGCTCAACCTGTTTCCGAATTAGATGTGATTGTGCTTTTTGACAGAATTTACTGAAAAAAAGACCTGACTGCGATAATGATTGCACTGGAAACAAATTTAAATTAATCAGTCAGTCTTGTGTTGTGTTTATGCTAAAAACTGCACATATTTACACATGGGACCCTATTCTGTACAAGCAGAAGAAATGTGTCAAGGTTTGTCTATAGGCTTGGACTGAGTTTCATCAGCTGACTGAGATTGACAGTGAACAGTGCTTGCTGTATCTCCATGATCCAACCAGTCAGCATCGAAAAGCTTTGAATTTACATCTCGTTATAATGTTTATTTAGACCACCATGCAATTAATGGCCAGTCTCCATCACAATTGCTGTCCATCGCTACCACTCCTTGTGCCCCTTGGTTCCCATCACCGTCTCTCCCCATTCCTAACATTCCGCACCCCTACTATTGGCCATCTCTGCTACACTCCTTCACCTACTCACCCCATCACCTCCTCTCCCCATTACCCACCACTCCCCATCCATCCCAACTCTCCATCCACCCCTCTCCCTATCACCTCCAATCTCCATTCTCTGTCACCCCCTCTCTCAGTCACTCCTGTCTCCTGTCCCGCTCTCCCCAAAGCCCCCTCTCCCCATCCCCCCAACTCCCCATCCCCCCTCCCCATCACCCCCAACTCCCCATCCCCCCTCCCCAGCCCCCCCACTCACCGTGCCCCCTCTCTCCCTCTCTCCCCCCACTCCCCTGTCCCCCCTCACCCTGTGCCCTCCTCTCCCCTTCCTCCTTACTCCTCATCACCCCCATTCCCCATCACCCCTTCTCCCTGTGCCCCCATTCTCCCCATCACCCCCACTCCTTGTCACCCGCTTCTCCCCGTCAGCCTCTATCATCCACTCTCTATCATCTCCACTCCCCAGTTTAGCCATCTCCTGATCCTCAGCACTCCCTAGTTCCATCATTCCCCTTTGCTGTTACTGTAGCTCAGTCACCATCATTTCTGATCCCCATTCAGGTTCAGTTGTTCAACCTGTTCACCTGTTCCCACTTTTTGGTTCAGTGTGCCTTCCAACTTTGGGAACTGCCACTGAACATCACTTAATATTAAACTTCTTTTCGCAGCAACGTTATGGATTTTGCCCTAAAATTGTTACCACCCTAATTTAGCTGGCAGCTTGAATATGTTACTGCATTTCAATTCTGTACAAAGCAAAGTGGAAATAAAAATTTAGTGGTCCATTTTGATACATACTTCCGCTTGCCTAATTATTTGCAACAGAATGTGTGAGTCAGAGGTTATGACCTGATTGACTGTGTGTTCTAGGTCTATGTCTCTTTGGCAATCATTGTGAACGCTTATCTTAGCTCAGGGAGTCAATAAGATAAAGCTGCTCTCCAGTAGTCAGTCATTCATCTTGCACAGTGAGTTGGGACCTCTTTTTCTTCCGTCATACCATGTCAGGAGCAAAGGGAAAAATTTTACCTTTCCTGCAAGTTCTGCTACTTGCATTTTCATCTGCTAAAGCTGTAAGTGAATTTACGGGTAGGCATTAACAAATGTTTGGTCTTACTGTTGTGGACATGTGATAACGTTCTGTTTTTTTCTTTTATTACAGTTTATATCAGATGCACCCTGCTGTATCTTAGATGCCAGATTTGTAAGTACGATTTGTAATACTGAGTCCATTGCAATCATTAGTAATGTGGCTCTCTAGCTGGAAATATAACATTACTGCAATTTCTCTCTGCTATGGCAATTTAGGGAGAATTCTGCCCCACAACTTGTGGAGTTGCTGAATTTTTTCAAAAGTATCAAACAACAGTTGATGACTCACTTGGGACAATTGAAAAGGATTTGCGTGACATTCAATATAAAAATAGCATGACAAAAAATAAGACTGAGACCATTGAACAGTCCAATCTTATCATTCAGAAACAATTGCCAGGTAACGTTTCCGTGGTAATTTAATACATAAGCTGAAATGGCAAGCTACATATTTAAAAACAATCAGAATGACTCACCCACTAGGTTGATTTTTATTTGTATTCTTATATTTTGAAGACGTATACATTCAAAGAATCCGCGAAGTAGAAGCAGAGATTCTCAGGTTTGAAAGGACCACCGAAGACAGAGATCAGGAGCTACGGTAGGGACAAAGTTACAAAGTTCTTGAAATGGAGAGATCGGGAAATCAGATTTGTTTTCTTTATGTGTTGATAAACATCTTAAAGGAGACACTATCTTGTAAATTGTCACTTTCCCATTGATAAGAATAGCAAACTACAAAAACTATAAGCCTGAAATGAAGACAGAATATAATGAAATACAGTATTTTTAAAAAAGAGAAGCAGAGTTATATTCCAGGTGTTGATTTATGCTTCTAAAGAGTGTACATTTATTTTGGACCAGATTTTGTGATATGAATAACACTTTGGAAATGGACGGCTAAGTCCCCTGCCCCAATACGTGCAGTTAAATGTGAAAATGTGGAAGCTACTGTCTGAGATGCCTTACCGCATCAAAAATGTTAAGAATATGAAAGCAATACATCTGGCCTCCCATTCAAAACTATTGAATTGTTTAAAGATGCTGAAATCCTGAGATACCTGAACTAAGATCACCATATAAAGTTAGTGATTAACCATTCCAGTCACAACAGGACATTGCAATTATTGCAAAACAACATGTCTGGTGCTGAAAAATAATTTTTATTAATGTGAAACCTAATTTGTTATGATTATAACTGAAGCTTGGGAAATAAAAAAAAATACTTTGCCTTTCTGTTGCCTTTATAGGCTAATTGTTCTTTTCCTGATTATAGTTTACTTTCTATAATTGATTTGATGTTGAATTAAATATTTTAATTGCCACTTCCTAGTTTAGGCACTGCACTGATGTTTAATAGTCCGTTAACTGAAATGATTCAGGAGCTGTATAGTCACAGATTTTATTTAAACATGTCTCAGTTTGGATAAATTTAGCTGTTGCATTTTGGTAAGATGAACAAAGGCAGGACATATACATTTAATGGTAGGGCCTTGGGGAGTGTTGTCGAACAGTGAGACCGAGGGGTTCAGTTACATAGTTCCTTGAAAGTGGCGTCACAGGTAGTCAGGGTGGTGAAGAAGGCACTTGGCACATTTGCTTTCATTGGTCAGAGCACTGGCTATGGGAGTGTGACATCATGTTATGGTTGTACAGGACATTAATGAGGCCACTTTTGGAGTACTGTATACAGTTTGGGTCACCCTGCTATTGGAAGTCTGTTATTAAGTTGGAAAAGGTGCAGAAAAGATTTACAAGGGTGTTACCGGGACTGAAGGGCTTCAGTTATTAGGAGAGGCTGGATATGTTGGAACTTGTTTCCCTGGAGCGTAGGCAGTTGAGGGGTGAGGAGGGTAGGGGAGTTTAAAACTAAAGGGCATACATTTAAGGTGAAAGGGGAAAAATTTAAAGGGCCTTGAGGACAACATTTTCACACAGAGGGTGGCTCATGTGTTGAACAAACTGCCAGATGTGATAGAAGCAGGTACAGTTACAAACTTTGAAAGGTATTTGGACATGTACCTAAATAGAAACGTTTAGAGGGATATGGACCAAGCAGGTCTGGTTTAGTGTGGGAAATTTGGTCGGCATGCACAAGTTGGAAAGGATTGATTTCCGTGCTGTATGACTCTAGGTGACCAGTTGAGGACACTGTGTTCTCGTAACATTGGACGGATAATAATGTTCAATACAAAGGCAAATAGGGAGTGTAGAAAAATTGTTCACTGCCAACCACAAAATCATTGTAGATAACCATATCTAGATTCCTTTAAATAAGCTCAAAAAAAGGAAACAATGCAGCACTGGTTAATGCATTTTAATTATATTACACAAACAAGTACAGGCAGTGATGGTGAAATGGCTGGTATTGGGCAGATTCTGACCGAGGTATGAATGATGTAGCCCATGGCAAGATGTGTTATAGAATCAGGCAATGAGTCCAGCGAGGCCTATCGTCATATCGAGATCATCTCGCTCCATCCTTTATACTTGCCACAAGTGGTCTAGCAAGATTCTGACTAAGCAGTGGCAAATTGCCAACCGATGGGGATTAATACTTATTAAATATCTTAATAATCTTGTCTCATTTCCACACTTCCATTTTACAAATTCACCAATCAGGCTCAACATCAGGAAAACTCGACATGGAAACCAGAGCAAGCATTTGGAGGATTCAGCTCTCTGCTTGCTTCCAGTGAATTGACATTGGACACTGGGGAACAACACCTCAGGGCAACTCCATGGGCACCAGCCAAATGTACATCATGTCCACAGACATTGGCATCTGATATGTGCCTGCCTCTAAGAACTCTTAAGGCACATTTCCAATCCACTTGTAGGACACTTCCATCCTTTAACGGTGTACCCCAGGCAGTACTAGTAACGTTCATTGTCATGCTGTTATAGAGACCTGTGTGCTCATGGACACACACAGAGCTCATGAACTGGACTAGGCTGCAGACTCCAGACTCTTTCCTCGCTGTCACAGTGCTCAGTCATGCAAAGTGGTAGTGATTGTGGTTTTGGAAGGTGCTGTCTGAGGATCTTTGGTGAATTTCTGCAGTGCATCTTGTAGATAGTACACTCTGCTGCTAATGAGCGTCGGTGGTGGAGGGAGTGGATGCTTGTGGATGTGTTGCCAATCAAGTGGCTACTTTGCCTTGGATGGTGTCAAGCTTCTTGAGTGTTATTGGAGCTGCACCCATCCAGGCAAGTAGTGAGTATTCCATCATATTCCTAATTTATAGATGGTGGACAGGCTCTGGGGAGTCAGAAAGTGAGTTAATCTATGAAGGATTATAAGCTTCTTACCTGTGCTTAGGTATAGGTATAGTATTTATATGGTTAGTCAGGTCAATGGTATACGTAGGATGCTGATATTGAACATTCAATCTGGTAATACCATTGAATGTCAAGAGGCAATGATTAGATTGTCTCGTATTGGAGATGATCATTACCTGGCATTTGAGTTGTGTGTTACTTGCCCCTTGTCAGCCCAAGCCTAGATATTGTCCAGATCTTGCTGCATGTGGACACAAACTACTTCGCGAATGGTGCTGAACATTGTGCAATCATAAGTGAACATCCCCACTTCTGACCTTATGATGGAGGAAAGGTCATTGATGAAGCAACTGAAGATGGTTGGGCCCAGGACACCAGCCAGAGATGTCCTGGAGCTGAGATGACTGACTTCCAACAATCACAACCATCTTCCTATGTGTTAGGTATGACTCCAACCAGCAGAGAGGCTTATCCCCTGATTCCTATTGACTCAGTTTTGCTTGGGCTTCTTGACACCATTCTTGATCAGTTGTGAACTTGATATCGAGGGCTGTCACTCTCACCTCACCAAGGCTGTAATGAGATAAGGACCTGAGTGGCCCTGGCGGAACCCAAACTGGGCGTCACTAAGCAGGTTATTGCTGAGCAGGTGCTACATGATGGCACTGTTGATGGCACCTAGGGCTAGGGCCGCGGCAAGTTCTGGAGCACAAGTCTTCAGTACTATTGCCTGAATGTTGTTAGTGCCCGTAGCCTTTTCAGTATCCAGTATCACCAACTGTTTCTTGATATCACGTGGAGTAAATTGAATTGGCTGAAGACTGGTATCTGCAATACTGAGGACCAATGGAGGAGCCTGAGGTTGATCATCCACAGGGCACTTCTGGCTGAAGATTGCTGCAAGTGCTTCAGCCTTATCTTTTACACTGATGTGCTGGGCTCTTCCATCATTGAGGATGGGGATATTTGTGGAGCCTCCTTCTCCAGTGAATTGTATATTGTCCACCACCGTTCACTTCTGAATGTAGCAGGACTGCAGAGCTTATATCTGATTTGTCGCTTGTGGGATCGCTTAGCTCTGCTGATCATTTGATTTCCCTCTTAAGTATACTCCTACTGCCTTTATACTCTCCTAGGGATTCACTCAACCTCTGCTGTCTATGCCTGATATATTCTTCCTTCTTATTCTTAACAAAAACCTCAATTTGTCTGGTCATCCAGCATTCCCTGCACCTATCAGCCTTGCCCTTCACCTTGACAGGAACATACTGTCTCTCGACTCTCGTTATCTCATTTTTGAAGGTTCCCATTTTCCAGCTGTCCTTTTACCTGCGACCATCTGCCCCAATCAAGTTTTGAAAGTTCTTGCTTAATACTGTCAAAAATTGCATTTCTCCAATTTAGAACTTTAACTTTTAGGAACAGTCTATCCTCTTCCATCATTATTTTAAAACGAATAGAATTATGGTCACTGACCGCAAAGTGCTCCCCCAATGACACTACAGTCATCCGCCCTGCCTTATTTCCCAAGAGTAGGTCAAGTTTTGCACCTTCTCTCATAGGTAATCCACATAGTGAATCAGAAAATTTTCTTGTACACACTTAACAAATTACTCTCCATCCAAGCCTTTAACACTACGGCAATCCCAGTCTATGTTTGGAAAGTTAAAATCCCATACAGTAACCATTCTATTATTCTTCAGATAATTGAGATCTCCTTACAAATTTGTTTCTCAATTTCCCGCTGACTATTGGCGGGGGTGGGGGTGGGGGGTGGGGTGCGGGGTGGGGGTGAGCTCTATAGTACAATCCCAATTAGCTGATTAAGCCTTTCTTATTTCTCAGTTCCACCCAAATAATTTCCCTGGCTGTATTCCCAGGAATATCTTCCATATGTTCAGCTGTAATGTTATCCCTAATCAAAAACACCACTTCCCCTCCTCTCTTGTCCCCCCTTTCTTTCCTTCCTATAGTATCTATACCCTGGAACATTAAGCTGCCAGGCCTGTCCATCCCTGAGTCATGTTTCTCTAATTGTTTTGATATCACAGTCCCAACCGTGCCCTGTGTTCATCTGCCTTACCTGTTAGGCATCTTGCATTGAAATAAATGCTGTTTAATTTATCAGTCCTACCTCGTTTTCTGCTTTTTTCCTGCCTGCCCTGACTATTTGACTTAATGTTTTTCTTAACTGTACCAGTCTCAGACTGAGAGATAGTAGGAACTGCAGATGCTGGAGAATCCGAGACAACAAGGTGCAGGGCTGGATGAACACAGCAGGCCAAGCAGCATCATAGGAGCAGAGAGGCTGACGTTTCGGGCCTAGACCCTTCATCAGTCTCAGACTGATCTCTTTTCTCACTATCTCCCTACCAGTCGTATTACAGAAAACCAACATAGACTTATGAAGGGGAAATCATATTTAAGAAACCTATTTGAGTTTTTTGAGGACATAACTAGTAGGATAGATGAGGAAAGCTCCTTGGATGTAGTGTGTTTGGCTTTTTGGAAAGTTCTACATTAGAGGGTACGTGTAAAGTCAGAGCATATTGGATTGGTGGTAATATACTGTCATGCATTGGGAAATGGTTAGCAGAGAGAACACAGAGAGTAGGAAGTAATGGGTCAGTTTTGTAGTGGAAGGCTTTGACAATTGATAGACTGCAGGGATCAGTGATTGGAGACCAGCTATTCAACAAAAGTCAATGATTTGGGTGAGAGAACCAAGTATATTATTTTCAAGTTTGCAGATGACAGAAAAGTAGGTGGTAGAAGATGCAAAGAGATTTTATGGTGAATTAGACAAGTTGGGTGAGTGTGCAAACACATGATAGATGCAGTATAATGTGTATAAATATGAAGTTGTCCACTTCAGTCAGAAAAAACAGGGTAGAGTGTTATTTAATTAGTGATAGATTGGACTTGGGTGTCCTTGTATGGTCTCAAGATACAAGGTAGACCATGTCGACCTGAGATGAGGAGAAATCTCCTAACTTGGAGGCTCGTGGAATTCTCTACCGCAGATGACTGTAGAGGCGAAGTCGTGAACATATTCAAGAAAGAAATAGATTTCTAGACATTAAAGGTGTCAAGGGGTATGTGGATAGAGTGGGAGGATGACATTGAGATAGAGGATCAACCATGATCATTTTAAATAGCAGAAAGGACTCTATGGACCAAATGGCCTACACTTGCTTCTTATTTCAATGTTTCTAAGTCAATATCAGAGAGTTTTTTCTATATGTTTCAAGAAACAGGGGAATTGTACATGGCAGTTTACACTTTGCAGGCAATTACAACAGAGTCAGTACATCAAGGTTTTTGTGAGGGGTCCCTTGAGTATCCCCTGGGGTAGGCGCAGCCTGTGACCATCTGGAGACCTTGTCCATGCCAGTCCAACACTGGCACCGCCACATCTGGAAACCGGCAGATCTGGGCCAGTCTCACAGGGCACCCATCAGGTGATTTACTTAACTGATTTACACTCTAAAGCTAGAAACTTACATCCCATTGACCTTATATAATTTATACCGTTCAGAGCCGGACTATATTGCAGTTTTTTTGTTTTACGAGGGTATGCACTTCAAATTGAGAAGTGTTTAGTAAAGTAAATAGTTCGCTGGTTGCTTTTGAATGGCACAGACTCGATGGACCAAACAGCCTTTTTATTTTCTGTGCTGTAGACCTCAATGACTCTGACATTATGGCTCTAAAACCAATGGAATGATTAGGCTCTTCCCCATCTGACCCTAAACCTGTGTAAACTGAGAAGATCCTGAGGTGGATTGTCGAAATGGACAATCCCAATGAGGTCTGATGCTGATAATGAATGGAAAATCAAGAAGAATTTTTCAACCAGAGCTCCCTGCAAGCTCTCAATGCTCGCTTCGAGAATTAACTTCCTTTTCCAGGATTCAGAAAGGCATGAAAGAGTTCTACCAAAAGTCCGCCTGAAATGATAACCTGTCTTTTCGTTTTATCTAAATTTCAATCGTTTGTCTTGATTTGTTGAGATCCTGTTACTATTGTTAATTTTATTGTCTTTTTCTAGAGATGATCATGCAGTGGTCTTTTATTTTTCTACAGGGATTTGGAACAGCTTTTAGTATCGAACAATGAAGTTATCGTTGATTTAAAGAGGATAACCCAACAACTTCAGGACAGGTGCAGTGAGCCATGCCATGACACTGTTCAAATAAATGAAATCACAGGGCCAGGTTAGCATCCCCTGTTCAATAGTCACTCTCTTCAGTTGGGTAGTTTAAAGTTTTGTCATCTTAACTTTCAACAAATCCCTTTTACTCACTATCAGTTGACTCACCAACATACCTTAGTTCTACTTTCAGCATATGGCTAAAATTTAAAATTTTCATCTTTGTGTTCAAGTCAAATCATGGTCTCACCTTCCCTTATCTCCTCAGTCTTGTAACACTCTGAGAACTCTGCATTCCTCCAGTTCTGGCCTCTTTTGAATTCCCAATTTCCTTTGCCACATTATTGTTCATTGTGCTTTCAGTTGTCTAGGTCCTAAATCCTGAAATTTCCTCACTATCTTACTTTTTTGTTTCCTTTTTAAACACATACTTTAAACTACCTCTTTGGCCTAAAACTTCCACGTGTGGCTTAAGGTTAAATATTTTCTGATAATAGTTCTTTGAAGCACCTCAGTTATACTATGTTAATGATAAGTTGATGTTGTGTATTATAGTCTTATTAACAATGATTAATTTCGGAGTGTTCCAACTCTGAAAAATTGAGCTGTTTGACAAAACGTTACACTAAATGTGGTTCAATTACAAGCACTGTAATCTGATCCTATTCAGACTGTCAAGAGATTGCTGACAAAGGTGCTACAACAAGTGGCCTGTACTACATCAAACCAGTGAAAGCTCGGCAGCAGATGCTAGTTTATTGTGAGATTGATGAATTAGGGAGAGGCTGGACAGTGCTCCAAAGGGTATGTCACACCATGTTTATGTTATTGACAAACAAACCTTTCTCAATTTGGTGCAAGGTACGATCAGACAATGCTTCTCTAATTTCTTTCAGCGACTTGACGGCAGTGTGAACTTTCACAGAAACTGGATTTCGTATAAGGAGGGATTTGGATACTTGTCACCTGATGGGAGCACAGAGTTCTGGATTGGGAATGAGAAAATACATTTACTAACTACACAGAGCAATAAACAGTTTGTACTCCAAATAGACCTGATGGATTGGACAGGTCAACAGAGGTAATCATTGATTTATCGTTGCAAGCAATAAAAATACCTGATACAATTCATAAGGATTAAAAAAAACTTACTCAACAATTGTGGTTAAACAAAACAATTGTTTGGTGATGTGCCAAATATTGTAGGTTTTTTTGTAGATTTTTTAGCATTGTTGAAACTGCTATACAATTTTATTTCACTGGCTTGAGTTGCGGTTACTCTCAGTCTGAACTCCTTCTGTCTGGTCCATTCCCATGTTATCATTCTTTAATCAAATTGGCTCTCTTGGGCCTTTTCCAAAACTACCCTGTCAATCAACATTAACAGCTCATTGCAAGTGACAGAGATCACTCCTACTTTTGCTTTCTCTTCTGCCCTCTAGCATCCTCCACTCAAATACATCAACAATCCACAGCACCAATACAATAGTCTGAATATAAATTCTATGATATATTAAAAAATCTTTCATGGGCAATGAGTGTTGCTAGCTCAGTCAGAACGTATTGCCCTTGAGAGGTTGCTGATCAGCTACTTCTGGGACAGCTGTTGTCTTTGTATACTCATAATGCTGTTGGGAAGAGAACTCCAATGTTTCGACCCAGTGACAGTAAAACAGCATATTTCCAAGTCAGGATAGTGAGTGGCTGAGAGGGAAACTTGCAGGTAGTAGTATTTCCATGCATCAGCTGCCCTTCTCCTGGTAGAAGTCATGGGTTTGGAAAGTGGTGTCAAAGCAGCCTTGGTGAGTTGCTGCAAAGCATCTCATAGATGGTACACACTGATGCCAATATTCATTGATGTTGGGGGCAGTGGATGTTGGTGATTGTGGAGCCAACCAAGCAGGCTGCTTATACTGGGTTCATGCTGAGCTTCAAGAGTGTTGGTGGAGCTGCACTCATTCAGGCAAATGGGAGTATTCCATCACACTCCTGACTTGTGCCTTGTAGATGGTGGACAGATGTTGAGCAATCAGGAAGTGAGTTGCTCATAGTAGAAATCTCATCCTCTGTCCCTGCTCTTGAAGTACTTATATGCCCGGTCCAGCTAATTTTCTGGTCAATGGTAACGCCCAGGGAATTGATAGTGGAGGATTCAGCAATGGTAACACCATTGAACATCAAGGGGAGATGGTCTCTTCCTCTCAGGGAAGACAATGGTCTAGTGGTATTATCGCTGGACTGTTAATCCAGAGACCCAGGTAATGTTCTGGGAACCCTGGTCCAAATCCTGCCACAGCAGATGATGGAATTTGAATTCAATAAAAAAATGTGGAATTAATAGTCTAATGGTGCCCATTAAGCTGTTGTTGATTGTCATGAAAAACTCATCTGGCTTACTAATGCACTTTAGTGCCATCCTTACCCAGTCTGGCCTACACATGCCTCCAGAACCACAGCAATATGGTTGACTCTCAACTGCCCTCTGGGCAATTAGGGATTGGCAATAAATGCTGACCTAGCCAGTGACGCCCACATCCTATGACTGAATTTTTAAAAATGGCAGTTGAATGGCATGAATGTGATGTGCCTCAGCTTTGTCTGCTATTCTCACTTTGCTTCAGTGCAACAATGAGCAGACCCGTTACCAATTCAATAACATCGAAAACCTGAGCAATGAGCAGACTCTAAACGGAAGGGATCGGTGATCTTACCTGTTAGCCAGGGAGAGACATGCATTGTCTTCTCCGTGTGTTCCCATTGGGTAAAAATTGCTGTGCTGGAATTTTTTTTAGTGACTGGCAGACCTTCTCTGAATCAAAGGCACCACAGATGAAAATTCCACCCACCAACAGCTAACAGCCAATCAGAGACCAGAGATAATAGCAACTGCCTGAGCCTCAGGTCAAGGAGCGATCAAGGCCAGAGAGAAGTCACATTTGGGGAGAGAGGAGCAGTGTGGGTAACAATGGGACAGTTTAGCTCTCCACAACTCCTCTCCCTTCTGGGGGATGCTGGGTACCTCCATCAGGTACTGAAGGTCTTTAAACAAGAATTCCCCACCTGCACCCACCGTCACCTCTGGAATATCATCTCTGCATTATTATGTAGAGGTGCCAGTGTTGGACTGAGGTGGACAAAGTCACACGACATCAGGTTACAGTGCGACAGGTTTATTTGGAATCGGTTTATTTCGGAGTGCTGCGCTGCGAAAGCTTGCATGATTCCAAATAAACCTGTTGCACCGGTGTCATGTGACTTCTGACTCTGGAATATTACAAGCAGCTTGCAGAGGTTTACTTGTCATTTTCTCAGAGTGTTAAAAGCCTTACCTGCTTTTGGGCTCAATGGCCACACAAAAGTCTCAAATATCAATGGCTGGGCTGAAAGTCCAATCACAGACTGAAGGTGGAGAAGAGGTAGATTGCTTACACACTGCCAGATTAAATACCCTTCCCATCTCCAAGAACAACACAGAGACAGTATCACAGTATTAAGAATACCACACACTTTGAGCAGTGAGTTCCCATTTTCATAGAATCTTAGAATCCATACTGTGCAAAAAGAAGCCATTCAGCCCATCAAGTGTGCACTGACCTTCCAAACCCAGACCCAGACCCTTACCCCATCCCCACATTTACCATGGCCAATCCAACGAGCCTGCACATCTTTGATCTGGAACATCTTTTCCCAGAAGATCCAATTTTTTCAGTGCAAAAGTCAACTGGCTGAGAGTCATATTAGACGCAGGCCTTTTAACTTTGTGTTTACATTTGCACAGCACATGTATCCTTTCAGCTCCTCACTGCACCAAATATGTAATGGACATTTGATGACTGGGGTGTGAAGCTTGATTCTGCCATGTTTATACAACAGAAGGGCAAAGTATCGTGTCTGCATTGGATGAGTGCTGACTAATTTCTCTTTCCCTCCAGACATGCTAAATATTTGAATTTTAAAGTGGGAAGTGAGGAGGACAAATATCGATTGCTTTATGGCATGTTCATTGGAGGAGATGCTGGAGATGCCTTTGCTGGTTTTGACTTTGGAGACGATCCCAGTGATAAATTCTATACATCACACAACTTTATGCAGTTTAGCACAAGCGACTTTGATAATGATAAGTATGAAGGCAACTGTGCTGAACAAGATCAAAGCGGCTGGTGGATGAACAAATGTCATGCAGGAAATCTTAATGGCATATATCACCGAGGTAAAACTTCTCATCCACTGTACACTTTTGTGAACAATGCTCAAACACATTTCCTATGAAAATCGAAAGAACTGCCGATAGTGTAAATCAGGAACAAAAACAAAGTTGCTGGAACAGCTCAGCAGGTCTGGCAGCATCTATGAAGGAGAAAACAGAGTTAATGTTCTGAGGAAGGGTCACTGGACCCAAAACGTTAACACTGTTTTCGCCTTCACAGATGCTGCCAGACCTGCTGAACATTTCCTATGAAATTGACCGAACAGCAATTCATTATAGAGGCTAAAGAAATAAACTGCTAAAGCAGAACACTGCAGATGATGGAAATCTGAAATAGGACCAGAAAATGCTGGAAATACTCAGGCAGTGTTGGCAAAGAGGGAAACTGAGCTAATATTTCAGGTCAACAACTTTTCATTAAAATGTTGTGCCATTGTCACTGTTTTGTTAGGGAAAGTAACCTACAGAGGCTTATTGACATATCACACTCGTATCCTGGCAGTCTGTACAACATAGCAACTATGTGCCCCAATTGAAGATCTTTGGTTGAATTCTGAATTACAGATAATCTGTGGTTGCACTGAATGCACACTTTTGGTTCACAGGCAGAGCATTAAATGACGGTCCTTATGGTATTCCTACATGAACCTGAAGGAACAAAATTAATGACAAGACATATTCTGTTATAGGCGTTTGTAAAATTAATGGCAAAGGAATGATAATAGCAAATGTCATAGAGTCATAGAGCTGTACAGCATGGAAACAGACTCTTTGGTCCAACTTGTCCATGCTGACCAGATGTCCTAAATTAATCCTGTCCCATTTGCCAGCATTTCGCCCAAATCCCTCTAAACCCTTCCTATTCATATGCTCAACCAAACGCCTCCTAAATGTTGTAATTGTATCAGCCTTCATTACTTCTGCTGGCAGTTCATTCCTTACACGCATCACCCTCTGTGTGAAAACGTTGCCCGTTAGGCCCCTTTTAAATCTTTCCCCTTTCACCTTAAACTTATGCCCTCTAGTTTTGGACCCCCCACCCCAAGGAAAAGACCTTGGCTATCCACCTGAGTCATACCCCTCATGATTTTATAAATCTCTATAAGGTCACCCCTCAGCCTATGACATTCCAGGGAAAATAGCCCCAGCCTATTCAGCCTCTCCAGCCTCTCCATATAGGTCAAACCCTCCAACCTTGGCAACATCCTCTTTTCTGAACCCTTTCTAGTTTAACAACATCTTTCCTTTAGCAGGGAGACCGGAATTGCACACATTATTCCAAAACTGTCCTAACCAATATCCTATACAGCTGCAACATGACCTCCCAACTCCTGTGGAGAAGTTTATAGCCCATCTAGCAGCAGGGTACACAAACAGGCACCTGTCTGCTGCTCAGCAGTTGTGGTTGGGATAGGGATAAGAATTGTTTGTGCATTTGTCATTCCTGAGAGGAGAAGTGATCCAAGGATGCAGGGTGGGAGGTGCCTCACAGCAGGATGAATTTTTTTAATGGTGCCCAGGACAAACACTCTCACAGAAATTGCTTGAATAATTTCCTTAGCTAGTTACTGGCCAGCTTTCAATGATGGGTAGGCAACTAAACCTGCAGTACAAATGGGCAGAGTGTACATAGAAAAATTTCATGTCTATTTATACACTAAACTTGTAATCAGTGACTTTATTTGCAATTTGCTGAATTAAACAGCACCCTGGTGGCAGGAGGTAGACAATCTGCTCAATTATTTGAAGTGGGCCTTGGCAATCAATGGGGTCAATTAAGGAGCACCTTCAAATTCTCAAGACCACCTGTCTGTTTGGAAGTGAGAACAGGCAGATGGCTGCTGAAAATCACTCTCAATAATCCAGGCCACACCTTGAGGAGGAGGTGAAAAATGTTCAGATTTATTTCACCACTTTGAGAGGCGGTTTGCCCTAAGTCACCACCTTCATGAACTGTGCAACCGTGCACAAGAGGAATTTCTACCATTCGGTCCCCCGTGTGTGTCAGGGAACTGACCTCAGCCAGGACAGAAGTGAGTGTCACAACTGAAGTGAATAGTCACGAGATTGGAGGGGACAAATCTGTCCAGATTTCTGCTGCTTATGAAGTGGATGGAAAGTGGGAAGGGATCAATTGTGATTCAACCTCTCTCTACTCCAGTCCCAAAACCGCTCAAGTATATTTATTCTAGTTTCCTCTATGTGGTGGTTTCAATCCCGGTCACTCTCTGGGCAGAGATGTTTTTCCTGAATTCTTTTTGAATTAATTTGTTAGTTACCTTCTATAAATGATTTGCACTTACTGAGGAGACATAGGGGAAAGAAAACCAGAGCAATATTTTGTGACTCACTGTGTTTTCATGACATTCCCACTGCAATGAAATGAAATTTGTTTGCCTTTGTTTTAGGTGGCCCTTACACAGCATCGAACAATGGGTTTGATAACGGTATTGTTTGGGCAACATGGCACAGTCGCTGGTATTCCCTGAAAGAGACCACAATGAAAATCATGCCAGCAGGAAAATATAATGAATTACAAAGGATGGGACAGACCGAGCAGTCTCAATTATCAAGAGGCGATTACTAATTAATTCAAACAAAATCATCACCATAGCATTCATATAATTTGACTTCCAGTTCATTATACTGTGAATGCTTTTAAGTTGTAAACGTTCAAAACAGAAGTGAACTTGCCATATGCTAACACCAAACTGACAGAGACCACAGTAAAGGACCCATTCCAATGCAAAACCTTAACTTCACTCTTTTGATTACCACAACTCTGTTGTCATGTGTGTCTAGCACGAATGAAGGCATGAGTTACTTTTAACCCAGCTTCCCTGAATTGATAACTTTGTTTCCTTAGAGGAGATCCCATACATGAGAAGCACCAAATCCTTGAATCATTTCCATTTATCTTTATTAGCTGATTCACCTGCACTTTTCCTATGTCTAGCAATTTTGTACTTTCTTTGGGTGCTTTTATCAATAAAGTTACAATTTTTCTCAAATTCTTAGTCATGTTTCTCAAGTTTTTAAAAGGAAACTCCCAGAAATAAACCCAGAAGAGGAATGACATGAGCAGAGATAGGGTCAAGAGATAAAACTCTGTTGACCTAGTCATTCTGAGGCACCTCCACAGCAAGGCAGCTCCACTGTGAGGCAGCTCCACCATTGGGCACCTCCAGTATGAGGCCCTTCCACACTGAGGCGCCACCATCCTGAGGTACTGCTGTGCTGTCACACCTCCACTTTGGGGCACTTTGAGGGACTTCCTTCACAAGACACCAGACTTGTGATGCTCCTCCACTGTGAAGCACTACTTTTTGACCCATATCTATGAGGCCCTGGCAATGCCACTACAGGACACTAATATTGCCATCCTGAGGCCTGGTACCTGAATGCACTGACACTGTCACTGTCACCATAAAAGCCTGACACCTGAACCAGCTGAGGCACCAATGATCTTGGGTAATCATCTTTCTCTTTAAATACCCACTGATCTCTTAAGATTCCTCAGCAATGTTTCTGCAAAAGTCAAGAGGACAACACTTTAAAAACCATTCAAAAGTTGTAGTTATTGCCACGGTATCCATTTGCCATATGCTTGATTGTGATGATGTTTAATGTGAAAACTGCAACCATAGTAAACTCATTGGTGTTCTAGATGAGTTGATGTTCCAAAGTATCTGCCATGTTGTCATGGAAAAGGTGAAGAGCATGATGACTGGGTTCATCGTGCAGGGACTCAATGGAAATTTATTTCAAACTGTGCCCTCTGTATTTCTGCAGAGATAGTCATGGTCATTGGCACAAGTAGAGCAGATGCAGGCTGTGATAGAGGGGTTGGGGAGGTGGAGGAAGATGAGGAGCTCTCAGTACCTTCACCATTCTCAGTAATATCCACATTCCCAGCTGGCCTTCAGCTGGGGTTAATGGCGGTAGCTGCTGGTGAGCAGCAGTCATCCATTCCAATAACTACTGTGCCAACAGCGCCACCATCCTGTGGAGGGCCACAGCTCCTTATTTATTCCAGAACTTGTATTCTGATCAAACTGATCCAGGATGTTGAAGGAGGATTGTTCTCTTTGCAGGTCAGGTGTTGTTCTTACATTCACTCTTGAGTGTTAATGAGTATGTTTCTCCATAAGATTGACCAGTCTCTCGTGAATGCTGCTGATTCCTGGAGATAATGTTGAGTTCAAACCAATGATGGACCTTCAAAAGCTCCACCTTCGGGCTGTATATCTGCTCCAGGTTGGGTAAATACTGCTCCTCAAAAGGTGACTCCCAAGGTTCCATGTTCCTTACCAATTGTGATTTTCCTCTAATCTCTGAGGAGGACTTTGCACAGATATCCATGACTCAGATACCCCCTTCTTCACTCTGAGGTAGTACCACCAACTCGCATTGGGTGCTGCATCCGTTTAATGTGCTTGTGTCTATTATGGAACAGACCAGACCCCGTCAAAATATTTTAAGGAGGTAGCCTAGACATTAACATTTTCTTATTTTAAAGGTATATATGAAGTGCATTTTCCAGATGTGATGCAACTGGTCAAACTATTCGAAGTTAAGCAAAACGCAATTTATTTAAACACTACAGTTAAAATACAAACAAAAGAAGGAGGAATTTAGAATAACATAACCATTGGAAAACTTAACCGAATAATAAATACATTATGTACTAATAAGTAACTGTTCCAATATAGTAACGTCCCATAAACACACCCTTGGCAAAAAGGCAAATTCAGACACAGATTCTTACTTGCAGTTCTGCAATCCAGGAGGAAAAAACATCAAGAGAAATTTCAGAGGAAGTAGCAGCTAGTAATCATTTATTGGAGCTGCCAACTCTTCTGAGATCCTAAACAGCTTCTGATGCTACTGAAAAAAACACAAAACCCAGAAATCTGGATCTGTGAGAGCTGGCCACGCCCACTCAGGCTGTTAAAAAAAACCCTCAGGCCTCCTAAGCTGTTTACTTAAGCTGTCTTCAGTGGCCAGTTTTGTACATCTGCCTTTACAACATCTCTTCAAAAAAACCAACAAAATAATTTTTCAAAGTGACAGCATCGTCACATGTGGGAGTTAGCAGAGTGGATTAGCCAGAAGTGATGCTGCCTCCTTGGATATCCCCATGTGCTCCTGATAACCGAGGAATGATCTGGATCAGACGAGTGAGAGAGGAGAGCTGGGACTGGTGTGGAACACAAAAATGGGTATTTTTGGCACAGCTTTCACATTCTGTGAGTATTCTCTGAGGTACACCATTACCTTTGACCATGCTCACACATTCCACATCATACAACCCAATCCTCAGACTCCTGATCATGTCAATGCCCCATTGTGTTCAGTAAACCTCCACTAAGATCTTGTTCCAAGATTCCTTTACCAGCATCTTCATCACAATTTGATATCATCGACAGGCAGTCAGACAGGCCTGGCTACCTCCATGGCTGGCTCTCTTACATTCCAAATCATCACCTCTCAACACCACCAGACTGGGCCATTTCCTTGCTGTTCTAGGGTCTCCTAAACCGTAAGTAATGCCAGCCTGATTTGTAAGCAGACAGGGAGAGGATGCTTCAATATCTTTGTATCTAACGGTGCGATTCATGTATGATGTGTGGATATTCAGGAGCAGCTTGAACTACCTGGCTCCGCACAATTGTACAGCTATGTGGCAGGTCTCACCCCTTAGCTGCAGCACATAAATGTGAATTGTCACTTGAGCCTCTGCATGTTTGTGCTGAACAGATTATCTTGCTGGAATCTTGATAGATTTGTGGCATGAGAGCAGGTGGATGGGCAAAAGTACTTGGCAATGGTGGAGTATATCGGGCATTCCCTGACCCATAAATGAATGAATAAATTTAGCTAAAAATAATAGTAACATGTGTTATTATAGAATATTGATAGTTGATGGTGCAATGAATCTACATATCCATGGTTCTCTTGTTGTGCCTCTCCATGCTTGAAGTAATTCAGTGTACCCCTTTAGTACCCTTTATTACACAGCAACAATGAGTATTTCTTCCTATGGAAAGTCCACAATAGTCCATCTGTCCCAGTGTCAGTAACAAGGTTTTTTGTTTAAATTCAGTTGTAGGATGAGGGCATTGGTATCCAGGCCAATATTTATTGCCCATCCCTAATTGCCCAGAGGGTGGTTAAGAGTCAACCACATTGGTTGTGGTTCTGGAGTCACATGTATGTCAGACCAGGTAAGGATGGCAGTTTCCTTCCCTAAAGGACATTAGTGCACCAGATGGGATTTTCTGGCAATCGACAATGGATTCATGGTCATCACTAGACTCTAATTCGTGATCCTTTATTGAATTCAGTTTCTAACATTTGCCATGGTGGGATTCAAACCCAGCAGACTAGAACATTACCTGGGTCTCTGAATTAAAGTCCAGCAACAAAGTCACTAGGCCATCATCTCCCCTGGTGAGCAACTACTGCAGAGGGTGCATTCACCTGACTGCTGCATGCCATCTCCTCCAGGCCATTGACTCAACACCACCAACTTCCTTCCATTTTTCTTTTCATTCACAGGATGCAAGAATTGCTGGCTGAATCAGCATTTCTTGCCAATTTCTAAATGCTCATGAGAAGGAGTTGGTTGTGGGAGATGCCTGTAGCTGGCTCCAGGTTCTGCGAGGAACTCCTTTAGGTAGGTATGCTGTCACCAACACTTCTTGTAATACCAGCCTATGTGGCTTGCTAGAATTAAATGGTGAAGGATTAACAGTCAATGAGATGGCAACTGAAGAGCCATGTCCTAGAGTAACGAGAAATTGCTTATTCCGTTGTCATCAGTGATTAACACTGCTGCCTCACAGCGCCAGGGACCCGGGTTTAATTCCACCCTCGGGCAACTGTCTGTGAGGAGTTTGCACATTCTCCCCGTGTCTGTGTGGGTTTCCTCCGGGTGCTCCGGTTTCCTCCCACAGTCCAAAGATGTGCAGGGTAGGTGGATTGGGCATGCTAAATTGTCTGTAGTGTTCAGAGATGTGTAGATTAGGTGGGTTATAGGGGGATGGGTCTGGGTGGGATGCTCTGAGGGTTGGTGTGGACTAGTTGGGCCAAAGGGCCTGTTTCCACACTGTAGGGATTCTATGAAAATGAAAAAAAAATGTATTCCAACACACTCCCGACTTGTTTTTTCAGATGGTGGATGAGCTTCTTTGTGTGAGAAATTGAGTTGGTAACTGCAGAATTCTTAGCCCCTAGCTTGCTCTTGCCCTCACAATATTTATACGGCTGGGCCATTTCAGCTTCTGGTCATTGGTAATTTCCAGCATGTTGATAGTGGGGAATTCAGTGTTGGTAGCATCATTGAATGTCAAGAGACGATGGATAGATTCTCTGTTTTTGGAGATGGTCATTGTCTGGCAAAAATAGAAAGATCTGTGGATGCTGTAAATCAGAAACAAAGTCAAAAATTGGTGGAAAACCTCAGATGGTCTGGCAGCATCTGTGATGAGAAATCAAAGTTAACATTCTGAGGAAGTGTCAATGGTCCCAAAACATTACCTCTGATTTCTCTGTGCAGATGCTGCCAGACCTGCTGAGCTTTTTCAGCAATTTCTACTTTTGTCATTATCTGGTAATTGTGTGTCAATGAATGTTACTTGTCCCTTACCAATCCAAGCCTGGATATTGTCTAGATCTTGCTGCATTTGGAAATGGACCGCGTCTGTATCTGAGGAGTCTTAAATGGTGCTGAACATTATGCAATCATCAGCGAACATCCCCGTTTCTGACTTTATGATGGTGGGAAGTTTATTGCAGAAGCAGCTGAGGATGATTTTGCCCAGGACACTGCAATGCAGAACTCCTTCAAAGATGTCCTGTACCTACAACAACTCCAGCAACAACAATCATCTTCCTTTGTGCTGATTACAACTCCAAACAGGTTTCCCTTTGATTCCCATTGACTCTAGTTGGCCAGGGCTAGGTTTCGACTTGATGTAATAGGCAATCATCAGTGTTGTCTCTAAGC